ATAAAAATGCGAGTAAAAATGCCACGCGCACGCGGAAAAGTGGTTCGGATTCAAAATCTTCGGGGAATCACCGCAGCATAATACGCTGTTGCCGGTGCAACGCCAGTGTGACCATATTTTTGTAATGAATAATAGAATATTAGGGAAAAAAATTATATATATCAGGATAAATATCGTCGAATAAATATCATGATATTTATGAACATATATACTGGATATTCATCACTGATAATAAATATCCAGCCAACCTTGATCCTGTATGTCCGTTCGCCGAAAAAATTGATTTTGACAAATGTCACGTGATCACTTGTATGGCGGTGAATTGTGAGGTTAGATGGCAAGACATCGAAAATGTTGTCTTGAATTCAATTTCATATGCACACAGAGTTTCAAGCACTTATTCGAGGAAATTGGAAATAGCTATTTTTTTTGCCGTGCGTCTTTCAAAGTATTCAAGTTACGTTCCTATTGTAATCTTGTCCCTAGACTGTCCTAGAGATCCTCAATGGGATTTGAATCCGGGCTCCGAGCTGGCCATGCCATGGTAGCAATACCGACTTCCTCTAGATAATTTCTCACAACTCGGGCGACCTGAGGCCTGGCATTTATCTTGCATAGAAAAATCCTCACACTATTTATGTTGTTCCAAAATCTCCAATATGTATGTACCTATCAGCTGTAAAGCTTCCATCTTCCATTTATGATCACAATTTCCGTGCGATCGGTCAAAAAAAGGTCTCCCCCAGACCGTAGCCTGCCACTTACGTAGGTTATCTGACATGCATGATAGATTCCAGAGAAAAAAACTCTCGATTCGCCAGTAATACAATTTTTCCCCATAAGTTACGGACCGTTAAGGACTTTAAAAGGATGGCACTGTAAAGGTATATCCCGGTGTATCCGAGGGTATTTCAATCTTTCCAAAAATAAAATATTTTGATAACTTCCAATGCAGTAATATACTGGATGTCCTAGAAACCTAACCAACCAATATTCCCTCGATGCCTCGAGTATTTCTTATCTCCGTATAAATTTCATTTTTTTCTTCATATAGGTATGTGCAGTAGAAGGTTTGTATGATGTAAACTTGCCTATGATGTTCCATATTTCATTAAAAAATAGTACATGTACACATTTACGCATTACTGACAAAAATAGTTCGAATTTTGACAATACTTGTCGAAGTCCATAAGAAGATTAATCAAGACCGAGATCAAGACTATAAAACTAAAATTTGAATCACGACCACCGCAGGGTTAAATCCGAGTTAAATCTTTAATTAGGTGATACGTTTGAACCTCAAATAATATAACTTTTCGTGTTTCTGTCGAATTATATGTGTCATCGGAAATTCCCATCAGTAATATCTTTGAGTATTCATATAATCAAGGGTAATAGGGTAATATTTAGAATTGTGCCTCCGCCATTAATTATGAAAAGTGAAAGAAGATGAAACATCGAACATAAATATAAGAAATAGTTATTCATGTAACTTTTTTTACGAGAAGGTAATGTTTACACAATTCCCATGACTGAAAAAAACACTTTACGTACGTGTTGCATACAATATTTTTCCTACTATACTGTCAAAAAAAAAGACAACCTCATTCAACTTATGATGTAACTGATTAAATTATATTACTTTACTTACTTTACTTTATTGATAACACCTGGTTTTCAAGGACGAAATTGTCAGAGCCACCTTCGGGTAATTTAAATAAATCGCTCATCCCGCTCGCATAAAATGCGAGCATATTATTATCAAATACGCGAGGGTATCTTGGCGCCTTCTTCCCGCTCCCATCTCTATTTTACTGGCATTCCATACGAAATTCGAAGTCAGACGCCTTGATTTGTTTGCTTGCTACCTTGCTGAATCCCGTAAAGGAGCCCATAGAATGCGTTGTTCGTCGAACAAGTATATATTCGAACAAAAATGACGCCAAACCGAAGTGTGTGGTGTGTGGCTAGCGAAAACGACCATTTTGCAGCCACACACTTCGGTTTTGCGTCAATTTTGTTCGAACAGACTTGTTCGCTTTCACGCAAGCATACAACCGTGAAAACCGTGAAAAAAGTCTACTTTCATCCACACTTTTCCGTGAAATCATGAAACAGTATTTTGATATTGAATAATTGTACACTTTCGGAAAACAAAATACATTTGAGAAGTGCCGTTTTTTTGACAGTTGTAGGAAAATGTCATTTTTGAAATTCAAAAATTTACGATAATACGACTATAGGACAGGCTATGCGATGCTTGCCTGCCTTCGTCGCTGTCTTTGCGATCGTTTCCGTTCTTCATGGAATCATGGAATAAAATGCATGCTTCAGAGTTGATTGAAGTTTTACTCGTTTACAGATTTAGTAAAAAACGGTAAAAAAGTATAGAACCACCACCTAACTTTGCAACGGTGGATCCTTTTGGAATTGTGACAAGAACCAAATGGACCCAAAAATGTATCAGATTTGTTCGAGGTTTTACTGTACCAGGTATCCTATACTTCCATTAATACCAAATTCAATTTCAAAAGAATAATGAAGGTGGGTCCATAGTTTTCACTGAACCTGTAGTCTTCATATAGTAAAAAATACTATATATACTCCAAAAGAGAGATGGACAATATCAACAAATACCGTTAAAATTCAGATACTCAGTACAAGAATTCAAACGGGGAATTAAGAAAATATTTCGAAATGTTTTAATTTATTTTACCAACTTCTAGCTAGGACAGAGGACACGATAATTAATATACAGGGTGTTTCATAATTGAATGCTGATCCTAAAGGGTGATAATCCTTGGATGATTTTAAGAAAAATCCTTCATGTGAACATAGGTCCGTAACAGCTTCGTTTCTGAGATACAGGATGTTGAAATTTAACAAAAAAATCAGTTATTCCCCAATATCTCTGAAGCCGCTCTGGCTTTTTTCTTCATTACAAATACTTAAATATAGTTACCATAAAATTATAAAGATATTGCTCAGATCTTTTGGTTACCACAATTGTGAAATTATGACTAAGAGAAAAAATCGAATAGGGACAAGCAAATGAATGCATTTTATTTTCTAACTCAAAAACCGTTCGCCGGACAAAAAAAAGACAAGAGACCATTTTTATGAGAAGATAGAGGATAATTACAAAAATAATATTCATTTGGAAAAAAGACAGTGGCGTATCATCATTTTGATGAAAAATATGACAGGGTATGTTAACAGGGACGCCACTGATGGAAATTAAGAAATCCTTCATTATGGAAAAAATGTATTTTTATTCATACTCGGCATGTACCAAAATTGAAGAAAAAAGCCAGAGCGGTTCCAGAGATATTGGGAAATAACTGATTTTTTTGTTAAATTTCAACATCCTGTATCTCAGAAACGAAGCTGTTACGGACCTATGTTCACATGAACAATTTTCTTAAAATCATCCAAGGATTATCGCCCTTTAGGATCAGCATTCAATTATGAAACACCCTGTATAGGTATAGGTAGTTATTTTACATAGGTGGACAGATGAACTGAAAGTTCAATAGTAAAAAATAAAGGGAAGCACAAAAATACTGGACGAAAAAAATATATTCTTTAGTGAATGTATACCTACTACCATCGCCTATATACACGGTAAAAAATCCTATTGAGTGAAGCTTTTCGTCAAAATATAAATGAACAATCAGTTTCATCAATGATTCAAATGTTGTTGAATTTCAGTCAAAATTTTATACATGATTTCTCCAACATTTTTCATACTTCTGAGACATTTTTTGTCACTATTATTTGATGGGTACCTGTAAAATATTTACACAATCCGGTGTGGACCTGGATTGACACAAAGTTGTGTGGACCTGGAGTTAAAATCAACTCAAAAATTTTTACCGTGTACTTCTTATCGGATGTACTGGGCGGGCCAAATTGGATAATATTATTAAAGGGAATGTAGTATTTTTAAAGTAGATAGACGAACACTGATTTCGATAATGGCCATTTTTATGTGTATGTGAAATCACTACAATCACCTACACCCACTGTTTCCGAATGCTGGGTTTGTATATCCAACTTCGGATCCAACTAAACTAAGAATTCAAAATGAATAATTAAGAATTACAAAGTTGGTTAGTTGGATAGTTAGTCAACTCTCAAATTAGAAATTTTATTGACAGATAACATGCAGAACATTACCGAACATTACATATGATTTCGTTTGTTATTGTTCATACAATTCCCAGCTTATTCACAGCGAGGGGTAAATCTCCAGGAAAAATGTGTACACCAGACTTCCAATGACCAAAGACTTCCAAAGACTCCCAAAGACTCCCAAAGACTTTCAAAGACTTCCAAAGACTCCCAAAGACTCCCAAAGACTTTCAAAGACTCCCAAAGACTTCCAAAGACACCCAAAGACTTCCAAAAACATCCAAAGACATCCAAAGAATCCCAAAGAATTCCAAAGACTTCCAACGGAGTGTACACCAGACTTCCAAGGAGATTTACCCCTCGATTCACAGGTTCGGTAGGAACTAGGGATTCAGGTTCAGAGTCAGGTCAATATTTTTAGATTGAGCATCTGACATGATCGGACATTTTCAGTTTTTTTTTCGTTTTTCATTGAGAGTCTAGACCAGGTTCAAACATGTTCAGAATAAAATGTTCAACCAGTATGGTTCAATGACAAATGATGACAATTGACAATATCGCGTAGGTAGGTATTCACACCAATTATAATAGGTTGTTTATTATATCTAGGTGTTTTTTAATCGCTTTTACATGATGGCGAATTGTAACTTGTTGTTTTGTCTGGTTTTTTTGGGCGCAGTTTAATAGGTAGGTATTATATAGATAGGTATGTATTTCCCCAATTTCAGCGAATTCTGAAGAACGGGTATAGGTTAGTACCGATCTAGGTACTGAAAAACTTGTAGGTACATTACTTACATTAGTAGTAAGGTATTGAAGTTATGTTACCTATTTGTTTTTAAAAATAAATCCAAGGTAGTACTTACGTGATTTTTTGTGATGTCCATTATGCCTTCTATTATGATTAGGTGATCTGGAACTAGACCTACTTCTGTGCCTGTGATCTGGAGATTCTCTTCGATAAATTTCTGGAGAAATACTCATACTCCTCCCACGCGGAGAATATTCTCGTGATCCCATAATTCCAAAATTTTGGGAATCAATTTGAGTTATATCAATACGCGAATTTCAATCCTAACACTCGTGGTCGTTATCAGTTATTTTAAAATTGCTGATGATGAGATAAAACTAATTAGATTATCAGTTTCCCAAACAAAATGGCGCTTGAACCATTGTAACAACAAGAACTGTACATTTTATTATTTCAAGTGTCTGGCGAATTTCGATCACATTATTCCGCGACACATCACTCAAATATTTGACGGAAGAAGGGAGAAAACAAGCTTATTTTCAATACTTTACGAATAAACTAGCTTAACTTACAAAACGTAAAACTGGTCTTTGAGGTATTGAACGAATACACGAATACACAAATGATCGGGGTCGACCGACCGACAAACGAGAAACTCTTGGCAATCAGCGCCTGCGTCATATGGGATGGATAATAAGCCCTAATAATTTTACCTGTGTATGGATGTGTCCCTACATTATTATAAAATCATCAGAGATCAGAAAGGTAACTAGGAAAATAATGTGTAGAATAAAGGCAAGGGAGCAGGGTACATTTCAAATCAAGTGAACGACTGACTTTCAATTGCAGAAATTAGTTTGATGGTCAGGTAGTTTATTTTCATTTAATACCTACCTACCTATACCTCCCACTTCACGTTAAGGGCAAAATTTTTTGTAAAGTTTGTTTCAGTACCTACCTATATCGGTCATTCTCAAAATCCTGGCTACGCTATACCTAATACCATCTAATACCTCTATACTTCATTTTACATTTGACATAGGTATGGTCACCAAAAACATCTATATATTTTTGAAAGTGAAATACCTATAACATAAAAAAGGTGGATATATATATCTATCCACCTTGAACATAAACCTGATAGTACTGATAGTAGTGTCACAGGGTTGCCACTGCTACTCCGATCGGATTAGATCTAGGTACTTATGTTCAGTTATTTATTTTACTATGGTACCTTCAGAGAAGACTTCAAAATCTATGATTTCCAAGCTACTACTCAACGAATCGAAAAAATGTATTGAAAATCTTTACTTCTGAATGATTGATGTATTGTGAATCACTTATATGTGTTGTGGTGGCTATACAAATTTCCTTGCATGCTCTGTACGACCTGTTTGATAGTATTTATTTGAGGTAACCGAAACGTGTCATTGAATCGATATATAGAAAAATGGTATGTCTATTCAATACAAAATAATAATCCCAATTTGCAGTATCTACCATGATTTTCGGAATATAGTCTGTTTCGTAAACTTTGCGATCCTGAAATTCAGGGCACCAATGTAGGACACACTGTATAGTTCGTCATCTGCATGTCATATACTGATTTTAATTATTTCAGAAGATTTCCCTCTGACAAATGTCATTCGTCTGGAGCATTGACAAAAATGCCAGATCACTGCTCATTGCAGTTTTAAAAATTTCCTGAAATAAATAACAGGAACAGGTATAATACACCTCGTTATTTAATCTTCTCCTAAAAATGCTAACATACTTAGCGAAACAAGTGTCGAGGTGTGAAAAATCGATTTGGTTAGTGGTAAAACAGTGTCTATAGTGTATTACTATACCGGTTGCTCCAGAGTTGTGGTGACAAAAGCCTTAGGGAGATTTCTCCCAACAAAATATGAAAGAAGGTTCAAATAAACTTGGCCCGTTTCCGTCCAAGTTGAAAAAAAAAGAGTTTTCCATTGATATATCTTGAAAACATTGAGCCGATTTGACTGACATTTTTATGGTTTACTATCACAATCATCAGACATAATATACTGCACCAGTTAGATTTGATCCAGAATTTCCAGTGGCGTACTCATCGAGCAAGTCGACTTTTTTGGTAGAAAAAAAGTCACCCTGTTTGTTTCGGGCTCTTCTTCTACTGAAAATACTGTCTCTAGCTATTTTTTTCGTATCTTGCTTCGTTTTACAGAAAAACGGACAATACCAATAACTGAAATATGAAAATGCTTCGATATTATCCAAAAATGTACTGCGCATTATTTTTCATGAAAACTAAAAAGGCATATAATTCAATACCCTCTCTTGAACGTATGCGATCTTCAAATTTTGTGAGAAATATTTTTTCGAACATTTTTTAAAACTTGGACATCCTATGTCCCTGACTCCCTGTGTTAATTTTGTTCGACTTTTTTCCGCATATACAGGGTGTTTCATGGTTGTGGTGACAAAAGCCTAGGAGAGATTCCCCACAACAAAATATGTAAAAAGTTTCAAGTTTGAAAAAAGTTTTTTATCGATATCTTGAAAACTGCTAAGCCCTCGCCCAAGCCGATTTGAATGAAATTTTCATGGCTTATTTACACAATTATCAGACATTTGCTGGACCACTTAGAACAGTCGGGGACCTTTCACTTTTCTATAGATACTTCCACGGGAAATGTTCCTCAGAAATATCTTCCATACCAGTCAGACGAACTCGACAGGCCCAGTCAGCACACCCCTTGGAAAATGTCGAACAACACTCTACCAAAACTCGTCTACAGAACGGCGAAGCTTTGGAATTTTTCCTCGGAAGTATTCCCAGGAACTTATAACCTCCGAAAGATCGAAACAAATTCCAACACGGACCTCCTCTCCCTGTCCTCCTTAGGTACGCGTGATGTTACACGAACATTATAGGAATTTCCTTTCGTGCGCTCCAAGAGATAAATAAAACAAAATTACAAGGGCGTATCCATCAAGTCGGCTTTCTTTTTGTAAAAAAGTCACCCTGTGTTTTTTCAGGTTGTTCTATAATATTCAAATATTCAAATACAACATTTTTGTCTCTTGCCATTTTTTCGCAACTTGTGACGAATGTATGATAGACAATGTCGTTTCCCTATTTGTCTCTACGTTCACAATATAAGAGAAACAATCCTCGACATGTTCTCTACATCTGAACCTCCCACTACCAGAACCAGACGGAAATAATAATGAAACACATAGACATGAAAAAGATCCTTCAACATCTGAAAATAATGGGTGTTGCCAGACCTAGTACATTCGTACTAGATCTAGTACCTTTTCACTAAGTCTAGTACGCTAGTCGATCGCAAAATTCGTACATTATGTACATTATAACTTGAAATATCGACATAACCGAAATCAACCAAAGATAGACTATTGAGAAATGAGATATTCACAATATTCAGTAAATAAGTTTTCATTATTTTTTTACCTTGTCTATTCCCCCCCCCCCATGTTCTTACACAAAACTAGGAAGATGGAATGGAAATCCAAATTAGCACTTTTCTTGAAAAACTACTACTATTTTCGGTCATTTTTTTAGTACATTTTGAGTTGCTGGGCTGGCAAAGCTTGCGTCATTCACATATTATAGAAGACAGTTCTTGATTAGGAAAAATAATTGGTGATGTTTCAAAGCAGGAACTTTCAGAAAAACCTTGGCCACCAAATCTGTCAAATGAATATCCATCGTCGAGACCTAGATGAAAATTCCAGATAAAATGGATCAATGGATGGATGTGGCTAGTTTATTCTCCATCTCTAGATTCTCGCTATTTTCTACTGTTGTCGGGGAACAAGCTGGTAAGGGCGGAAAACTGGTTACAGCTCCGTTTAAATACTGGAAGGATACCAGAGAATTCAGAAATCATAAAAAATATAAAGGTATCACACGAATTGTATCGAACGAGCAGGTAACTTTTTACATATTATGATGAGGAAATCTGAAAATATTATTTTACAAATTAACAAACATGAAAATGATCAAATAATCAATAATCAAAAGTGCCTGAAACCCATAATTAAAACTGCTATATATCTTGCTAGATCAAATGTACACTCGTTTTCAGCAGACATGGCGCGGTTGAACGGTTATGAGCGCTCATTGCAGCGGTGATCAAGGGAGCTGACACCGTCCCTGTGCGGGGGAAATATATTTGCTGTCCAAAATTATTAAAGTAAGCTGACCAAGCATTTCTGGTACGAATTATTTCTTCAAATTGCATATTTGAATATTCTATATGAATATATAGATGCCACCAGTGAAATAATTCCGATCCACCCCTTCAGAGGGGTAGTTTATTCTTTCAGTTTTTCAAAAATCCTTGCTGACCGAGCATTTCTGGTTCGTATTTTTTCATCAAATCACATATTTGGATATCCCATATAGATTTATAGATGCCGCCAGTGGAATTATTTCGATCCACCCCTTCAGAGGGGTATTTTATTCTTGCTGTTTTTCGAAAATCCTCGCTGACCGAGCATTTCTGGTTCGTATTTTTCCATAAAATCACATATTTGGATATCTCATATAGATTCATAGATGCCACCAGCGGAATTATTTCGATCCATCCCTTCAGAGGGGTAGTTTATTCTCGCAGTTTTTCAAAAATGCTTGCTGACCGAGCATTTCTGGTTCCTATCTTTCCATCAAATTACTTATTTGGATATCTCATATTGGTTTATAGATGCCACCAGTGGGATTATTTCGATCCACCACTTCAGTGGGGTAGTTTCTCGGGTAGTTTATTCTTGCTGTATTTCGAAAATCCTTGCTGACCGAGCATTTCTGGTCCGTATTTTTCCTTCAAATCACCCCCTGAAGGGTGGATCGAAATAATTCCGCTGGTGGCATCTATAAATCTATATGAGATATCCAAATATGTGATTTTATGGAAAAATACGGCACCTATAAATCTATATGAGATATCCAAATATGTAATTTTATGGAAAAATACGGCACCTATAAATCTATATGAGATATCCAAATATGTAATTTGATGGAAAAATACGATTCAAAATTGCTTGGTATGCAAGGATTTTTGAAAAACTGCAAAAATAAACTACCCCTCTGAAACAGTGGATCGAAATATTTCTACTAGTGGCATCTATAAATCTATAATATGAGATATTTGAACATGTAATTTGATGAAAAAATTCTAATCAGAAATGCTCGGTCAGCAAGGATTTTTGAAGAACTGCAGGAATAAACTACCCCCATGAAGGGGTAATTCGAAATAATTCC